TTTTTATATATATATCTATATATATCTACATTGCAGTTATAACTGTCACCTCACATAAGAGATTCAATGGACTGAACAATCATCTATAAACTTCACCAGCTGGAGTTCTTCAGGAAGAGCTAGCTTTCAGCTTAGACAGCAGCATTTAAAAAAAACATTCCTGTTAATAGAAAGCAAACAGATAAGGAGGTAGCTGCTCTTAACCCTACTAGTTATAGCTTCACATCAGCAAAACCAAACCCTTTTATTTTGAAAGGTCTCCAAAATCCATAGTCGTCTGGTGTGAGTGATGCACTGAAAATAATTCCGATTCATCCATAATGTTATTCCAATGGTAATATTCATTAAACTTTATGACATCCAAGCCAAAAGAATGCTGCTTGACCATTTGTCTAAAGTTGTTACAAGTAGCTAAAGCAAATCCACCTTTTTACTTATCAACTGAATGAATGTGAAATTGAGATTACTTTTACGTGATCTGGAACTTCACAAGATAGTTTACAAAAAAGTCAGTGTTCAGGGAACAACTCTAGGTCAAGAAATATATTTACGTAAGTACATACCACCTGTGTTCAACACCACAACCATGGCCTCATTTATTTTTAAGGATAGCAAGGTCGAGTAGAAGTTCCCTCACAAGGCAGCGGCAAAAAAATGGCTTATTTATGCTTCCACAAAAAACAAAACAAAACAAAACAAACAAACAAAATACCACCTATATTCTGCAACTAGGACATAAAATTCTGTATGTCAGAAAAGCAGCTGAACAGTCCCTGCCATTCTCCCAGAGTACATTGTCCAAAACAGGAAGGAACTGTCTCAGAACAAAGCAGGACAAATTACAGAAAGATGTTTTTCCCCAAACATCTGAAGCCAAATGACAGTTTTGCCTGGCAGCACTCCTTTGTCATTCATTATCACGAAGACAATAATTAACAGAAGCACATTACGATGAAAAGCTCAGGAAAGGCTACATCAATGAAGTGTTAAACAGTGCTTTCACGGTGGTTAGAAAACAAGGCTGGTTCCTAATGGTATTTATAACTACTGAGACTCTGGATTCCCTCCCTTTTCACACACTCCCTTATTTCCACAACCCTCTTTGCTCCAATACCTAACTGCTCATAGATCTTCAAGAGATTCCATTTGGAAACCCAAATATACAGCTTGCTCGGTAACAAATTGTCCTTCCCCTGGAACATGGATGGGTGCTAGTCTATCAGTGAAAACAGAATTTCCAAAATCAAATTCAGAGTCCAAGACTCATGGGGAGATAATCACCAAGAGACATGGTGAACACGGTGTGATAATCATCGTATTAGGAACTCTTGTGCATATATTAATGCACAAGTCAAGACAAAATGGGTCACTGAACACTTGCCAGTTCATATTAGCAAAAATGTTCTTACCTCTTTAAATTCCTTCACTGTTTTAAAGTAAAGCCTCTGTTTCTCTAGAAGCTCCAAGTATTCATCATTTAACTGGTCTCTTCGCATTTTGTTTTCTTGCTTCTTCTTTTCCATCTGTTGGTAAACATGAAGGAGAAGAGATCACTTGCTGTATAAAGAATACACAAACACACACGTAGGTACTGTATAAGGAACAACTATAAGAGAAAATGGGAGACAGATGCTTCATAAATGATACCCCTGGTTTGTGCTTTAAATGCAACGAACATTTAGGCCAGCTCTTAAAAAAAAAAAAAAAAAAATTAAAAAGCAAAGTCTCAGTACCAGAATGCTACTATAGGTAGCATTCAGAATTAAACTAAGTCTCCCATCTCTGCAAGCCAGGAACCTTGCTCGCTGAACAATCCTACCTCAACGATGACACAGTGAAATTACTTAACCAAAAAAAAAGTTTCCGATGCAACGCTGAGATCTTTATTTGGTTGTTTATGTTAGTTGTATCAAATGGGGAGGGCAGGAGACATCTTCACCTTCCTATGCAATGCTGTACTTGCTCAAGCCCCACACATAAGAAATCTCTTTTTCTCTTTGTGCCAAAGTTGTGACAAGCATAACTTAAGTCCCTAAAGATGAAGAGGATCGGTTCTTATTATAGAACAGGACTGCCTTCCTCTCAGGGGTAGTTCTAATGAAGTTCTTCCATCACAGCATCACAGACAAGTTTGCTGCTAGTCTAGAGAGTAAATTTTCCCTCCCTCGCCCTGGTGCTAGGGCACAACCACATTAAAAAAGCCCTGTTGTATTCCTCTCCCCCCATTATTTTTTTTTTTTTATTTTGCATTCTCTTTGACAGGCTTTTGCCTCCTAAATTTTGACAGGCAAAAATGCAGTTCCAAAAACTGCAAGAATCCCCAAAAGCCCAAACAAGCAGGTAATTCCACAGCAGCAGAACTCGCTGCATTTCTAGATTTATGTATCAACATTGATCTTGTTGATTCTTATGCCTAAAAGAAATAAGCAGATCCCAAACTCGCCCTGAGTATGAACGCTGCTAAGAAGGTACATCTCCTTTACAAAGCCAGCTGCTGTCCAAAACATCAGGGAGTCTCTCCTAACACAACTTATCAGGGCCAGTAGGTTTTTAAAGTTATACTTGTGGAAGAAAAAGCATCAAATTTGTTAATACAGAAAAAAGCATTATCACATGTGTCCTGTTCCTTTAGGATGAGGCTACAACCAGCATCGCTAAAACATCTAGGAACTAGATTCTTGTGGAGAGGTAAGACCCTATTACTACCCTTTGATAAATTGCTTCCTTTACGCATGACCATGACAAATCTCTCGACATACTCCTCTCAGTAGAAACTGGCCTGCTCTGTCCTCGGAAAGTCTCATGAATATCTGTTATCACACTGAAATGCTCGTTTCCCAGTTACTCGTTCTTGGTAACAAGTATGGCTGATTTCTCCTTAGGCCTCTTATGATGCAGTTACAACTTGATGGGCTTTGAAAACTGAAATTTCTCTTCAGGTAGAAGGTCTCAGGGCTGTACAGAAAACAGAGTGGATGTACTTTAAGAGTGGATCGTGAAACTGGCTGTGAGCACTTCTAATGCGCTGCAGACAGGAGTCTAATAGGTAAGACTAAGCCATCACGGGGATGATAGCCCTTGCAGCGTACAACTAGCCTGTCATCCGCCAGACATTTCCTAAGTGAGGAATAAGAAAACCTTCCCTTTTGCAGCAGAGCTGTTCTCCAAGGAACCATGTGAATTGTTAAAACTTTCTTAGCATCCATTTTTTGTCAGTATCTTCGCTGGCACTGAGAAATCAACTACAAGAAGGTACCAAATGATTATAACTACTCCATCACTAATAATTTTTTCCTCTCAATTAAGGTAAACTTAGCTTTTTCATTCAGAAACTCTTGGTTTTCTCCTTCAGTTGTAACTGCCACCTCCTGCTGATCCAGACACCTACACTTATGAATGAAATGTCACTTGTGAACTCCCTCACAATATGCCAGTGGCCAAACTGCCAGTGCAGTAACACAGCACAAGTGACATGAGCTGCCACTGCTTTCAGCAACCATCAGAGATGCTGAAACTATTCTCCCAAAATTATGAGTCATCTTACATGACAGCTCCCATTTACTTCCCTCTCCCTTATCTGTACATGAAGCAGTTGAAAGTTTTGATTCCATCTGAGAATGTAGTAACAGAGTCCAGAATCATTGTATGGACTTCAAAGACTTAGTACAATTGCAAGAACCTGAAGTAAGTCACAGCACAGCTCTGAGTCTGCTTTCACTCATTTGCTGCGCTCTTACCCGTTTCCACGTGCATAATGGAGGACAAGACAGAAAACAAAACATGGAACTCCTGGACAGTTTCAATTTGGGGCAGTTGCTTGCTGCAGCAATTAAAATAATGTCATTCTTCAAAAAAGAAAGAAATGTCATTATCTTCAAGCTCATCTTCACTAGTCAGAATTGCACTGTTCTAAAGTATTTCCATAATCTCAAATTGACACCAAGTCACTCATTATGTCAACAGCCTTCATGACAGATGACCCATACATACAACCACCAATATCACTGTTCTTTCTGCCGTCATTTTGTCCTCTCTGAAAATAAGAAGTCAAGCAAATAAAAATAATTCATTGCAAAAAAAGGCAATGAACTAGCCACCTATTTGAACACAGCAGTCTACAGTAAATGTCATATATTTTTAAAGTAGAGCTTATTAGTGCAAAAGAGCTTTATTACAGCTTGAGCTCCATCCTGTCCTGTTTTTCTATATACACATGCTTATTGTATTTTGTACTTGAAGTTTCTATTTAGCTGTGGAGATAAACAGCCCAATACCTGGACAGACTGCGTTTTCAGTACACATTCTAGTATATATTGATTTATAGTCTATCATACTTCCATTTAAACTCAAACAAAGAACAGCTATAATCCACTACCAAGAATTTTCTGGCTCTATAGAGAAAAGAATCTCAAAACCCCTTTATGGGACTTATGAAAATGAGAGTATGTTCACATTGTATGAGGTTCAACAAGGCCAAGTGCCGGGTCCTGCACTTGGGTCACAACAACCCCATGCAACGCTACAGGCTTGGGGAAGAGTGGCTGGAAAGCTGCCTGGCTGAAAAGGATCTGGGGGTGTTGGTAGATAGCCGGCTGAACATGAGCCAGCAGTGTGCCCAGGTGACCAAGAAGGCCAACAGCATCCTGGCTTGTATCAGAAGTAGTGTGGCCAGCAGGAGCAGGGAGGTGATTGTCCCCCTGTACTCGGCGCTGGTGAGGCCACACCTGGAATACTGTGTCCATTTTTGAGCCCCTCAGTACAAGAAAGACACTGAGGTGCTGGAGTGTGTTCAGAGAAGGGCAACGAAGCTGTTGAAGGGTCTGGAGCACAGGTCTTATGAGGAGCAGCTGAGGGAACTGGGGTTGTTTAGCCTGGAGAAGAGGAGGCTGAGGGGAGACCTTATCACTCTCTACAACTACCTGAAAGGAGGTTGTAGCAGGGTGGGTGTTGGTCTCTTCTCCCAAGTAGTTAGCGGTAGGACAAGAGGAACTGGCCTCAAGCTGCATCAGGGGAGGTTTAGGTTGGATATTGGGAGAAATTTCTTCACGGGAAGAGTGGTCAAGCATTGGACCAGGCTGCCCAGAGAGGTGGTGGAGTCACCATCCCTGAAGGTCTTCAAAAAACGGGTAGAAGTGGCACTTTGGGACATGGTTTAGTGGACATAGTGGTGTTGAGTTGATGGTTGGACTGATGATCTTGGAGATCCTTTCCAACCTTAATGATTCCTAGTTTTTACTTTCATTAAAAAATAATCCAGCCACCAAGCCAGGAAACATGAAATTATTACTCTTCTCTTAATTGGTTTAGTGGTGGACTTGGTAGTGTTAGGTTAATGGTTGGACTGGATGATCTTAAAAGTCTTTTCCAACCTAAACGATTCTATGATTCTATATGAAAATAAAAGAGTAAAACAACACAATAGCTACAAGCTAGTCACTACTGTTATCAAGAAGTACTTAAGCCTATCCCTGTTGAATGTAAATATGCCTGTGGGCAGCTTTACTTGGAGCCAGTGTTGGACCTCATGCTTGCACTGCCCCAAGATCACTTAACACAAGTCCACTGAGGCTGTGCTTTTACAAAACAACCCCCAAATGTTACCAGAAGCAGTTTTGTCTTCTCTGAAAGAGCACTGGGGCTCTGCTCACCCACAAACCCCTTTCATTTGCTATGTGGACATGACATACTCACCAGCAATGCTGAGTCTTTTCTAACTCAGGTTAAAAACAAAACCAACAAAAAAACCACCCGAGTGGATTCAGCAAGGTGTCATATAAGCACTGCAACTGGGACAAGGGAAGCTGATGACTGAGACTCTGTGAGGTGCTGCTGACCCTCTTCAGCAGCAGAAAGCGGCTTCAATCAGCTCCAGCTGCCTGAGAAACCATGTCTGAGACACAGGTCCGACTGCACCAACGCAATCCAAATGAAAGAATTCTCACTGACTTCAGTGACAGACAGCTGTTTCAAGCACCTGCCTCACTACAGTGCCAATAACAAAGTTAACACTTTGGGAAGCCTCTACCCCTTGTAATACCACTGTTCTGCTCCATTCACTAACATTTCAGTGGTGAGCAGTTTCTTATGGATGTGAAAATAAGTAATAATTGTTAGTTACTTGCTTAATTTGCACCTCACATAATGGATTTCTCCATGCATAGTTATTATCCGAGAGGCTTTTCTGAAATAATTTACAGGATCTAGCAAAGAAAGTGAGAAGAGTCTCAGACCTTCATGCGATTCTGTTTGATGCCTTCTACAATCTGCTCCATCTGCCGTAAAAACTGCTCACGAGAACCAGAAGATGCCATTGCTCTGGAAAGAAAAAAAAAAGATAACAACTGACAGGGATGCAGGACAACGTGTCTCGCCTACAGTTGTCTTGCATATTTACCCGTGTCCAAGAATTCATATTGCTTAGTGTTCTATGTAAAAATTCATCTTTTTAATCACTGATTTCAGGTAACAGCAGAGCTCTCCAGCTTGTATAAACTATCAAAGAGATGGGAACAGAGACTACAGAGCTCATCACAAGTGTTCTCTCTGTCGTTTCAGGTCTGCTCCTCTCTCTCGTGTTGTACAGAAATAAATTGCTATTAACTAACCAAAAGCACAAACTTTTAAGAAAAGCAACTGTTGTGAATATTAAGATGGAGAGTAGAAGACTAGTATATCAGTAAACATTCTAAAAAATAATTTCATGTCATAATAGGGAAAGCCCAGAAGTAATTTTAGACTTGCAACGTATCTTAAACATATTAAAAAAACCCATAAAACAAAGAAAATGCACACCCACCCCCGCACCTCCACTCAACAAACCAACGAATCCAAAACCCAGCTGTCCATTACAGCATTGGTTTCTACTGACTGGACAGAATCAAAAGGATCTCATCACTGAGCAAAACAGATCTGCAATCCCTGCTGCAAAAGAAAACATCTGTAATACTTCATTCTTGGTTTCTGTTTTAAGTTCTGGATATCACAATAGGGAGGGGAAAAAAAAAAATAATCTGACCAAACACAGAAGGACAAAAGTATATCAAAGTAAGTAAAGAGATAACTAATTACTTTGGGAAAAAACGAAGTTTGTAATTTCACAACAGAATTATAAAATGATATTATAGGAAGAATTGTTTTAAACTATTAAACGGCCATCTCCTCCCCGATGACTCACTGAATTGTACTGTTGTGACAAAAATTCAGACTGGACTTTTTTAGTGAAGTCAAAAAAAACCACAGAAAAAAAATAAATGCCAGCTACATCATAGACTGGTATTTGACCTCAAACTTCCAAGGGAATCATGATTTTACTTAAAGACTTCACACTTCATCAAAACCTTTAAATACAGAATTAGTCTGTAATAAACATGTCTGAAATATGTCCGAGTCTAATGTTTTGTACATAATGTAATAACCACAACTTCACAAAATGGAGAAAAATATTGAAATTAATGCCAGGAAAATTATGACTGAAGGATTTCCTTCCACAACTGCAACTGAAGAGCCAGATATTAAAAACATATGTTGGCTATTAAAGTTAGGTAATTCCAAGTCTTTGATTCCCCAAACATTGGCTTAAACAGAATTATAAAATAGTTTATAAAATCATTTACGTTCATAAAAAAATCTAACGGTTTTTTAGACTCTGTAACTCATGCCTGCTCCTGTTTTTCCAAGCAACCATGCTACTCATTTCAACTATCAAAAGAAAAATGACCATTACTTACTGATGAAAGTTGTCATGAATAGAATTCAGTAAGTTAACCTGTGAATTAGAGGGGGGGGCGGGGGGGGTGGGGAAGAAAAAAAAAAAGAAGAAATTAGACATTTGTCCTTTCTGGTATGAATTTTAATGGACAATAAAATGAAATTCAAGTTAAAAAATTGACTACATAGATGTTGCCCTGACAAGCAGTCAGCTGTATGAAAATCACCATGAGCTTTCTTTTGGAAGAGAAACCATGATCCCTCTGTATTAGTAAAAATCTATCCCAGTGGGGGAGCCACAGAAAGCAGAAGCAAGTCTTGGACCACAATCAGAATTTTTAATTTTACTGATGCCCAATTATACCACCGAGAATTTTCCAGCGTGACGACTTTGCGAACTAAAGCAATGAAGTAAAATGGCGTGTACATCTGTTCAACGTGTGTTGAAACCTGACATACAAGTAACTCACAGGTACTCATCCAGTGTTCAACAGCGACAGCGCACAAGCATATGTTGCGGCTACGTTAGGTTTGCCTAATTAGTCTTGTAGTGATAAAGCAGAACAAACAGTTTCACTTAGGTGTATCCCTGACTATGCTTACAAGCCAGACAGGATAGCAAAACCAAAAAAGCCAAGCAGTAACTCCCCACTGCCCAAACAAAAGAAAGCCAGACTGTAGTAGCAGTACTGGAGATGCTAGCTTTGAAGCCATTAGCAGCATAGCTCTGTCAAGAAGCTGCAACTTGGCTCAGCAGCCTGAGCAAAGCATTGCATCAGAAAAAAGAAAAAAAAACAAACGCCAAAAAACCCACTCAAAAACATCCCCCCCACCCCAACAAACAAACAAAAGACCCCCCACACACTTTTCCTTCTGAGACTGGAACCAGTATCTCCACACAATACTGTAAAAACTCACCAAGCCATGCAGGAACAGCAGGTGAATTTCTGCCCTGCTTTCATCGTGCAGATGAGCTTTACAGGTTTCCAAACAGCCATGCATCATTACTTGCTTTGCTTATATGTTTTTTATAGGCTCTTAAAATATGAACTTCTAAAAATATCGAATATTTTCTTTGAGTTTTTCCTTGCTTTCTACATTTTGCCGACAGCACTGAAATTCACCAAGTAGCAATTAATGTGATTGTCTCTCTTGGCTTTGAATACGTCTTGCAGGTCTCCTGTGGTTAAACCTTCTGAACAGTTTCTCCTTTTGATGAGTATTTGAAAGTGTTCTGTACTAAACAAACCTAAGCATTGCAAACAGAATCACTTGCCCGACTGCTATGGAAAGCTAAACTGATCTCTCCTAAATCTAAAATCTTCCATCTGAAAGAGACAGCAATAAACACACGCATGGCAGAATCTGCAGTTGTTCCTGACCTTACTTTGAAAAATTAAAACAAATTCTGAACAGACTCCAAAGCAGCTGTTTATGAATTCCTGTTACTTATAGGAAAGAAATTATTGCATGACCCATCAATATTTGCCAAGTCTACATCCTTGCCTCAAGATATTTCCAATAAGCATGCGTTTAAGAATGTAATTAGAGTTTATACCACAAAACGTTCAAGTCATGGAAAGTAGTACTGCACAACTATTGCACAGTAAGAGTGCTGATGTGTTACATTACAGACCGTAAAATCAGTGTATAAACCCCAAAAATCAAAGACATTATGGAAAAATGAGTTTAAAAGCATTTTAAAAACGAATCTTTCACAAAATATGATTAAAATATCAACCATGTTCACAGGGACCTTTCATGTCAGAGCTGTAACCTTCATAGCCAAAATTCCACTGTATAACAATTCTTGCATTATTTTAAAGCAATTTTGCTGTGTTATTTTAAAGCAATTATGCTCCGTGGATTTTATGAAAGGGTTGGTTTTGGGGGGAGAAAGGGGTGATGGGGGGGGAATGCTAGAAAGAGCAAGTGTATTGCAGAAATCTTTGTGAGGCACAGATGCCAAAGGCATCTTTTGTACATTACTAGACAATATTTACTTGGTTCTAATATTAAAAGCAACACAAGGAAACTTCAACTGTATTACATGTTTAACAAAGTTAAGACTGCGTCAGAAGACATTCAGACCTCTCTCTCTTGTGACTGACATAAAGATAAAAGAAATGCTTGATCAATTATTTGCCTTTTGAAATTATATCCATGTAAGTGAAGCTTGGAACTAATAAAATAAAGTAAAAAAAACCACCCCCCCCAAAGGCATTGAATTATATTGGCAAGAGTATTCCCAATTTATACAACAATTAAATACATCTGCTCTGTATTCTGTCAGCTATTTTTATGTGCCCATTTCAAAAACAATCTCTGTATTTCAAAAACAATCTCTGTGTGCTTTTTCAATCTGCAGGCTTGACCTCAAAATAAGAAAATACATCTGTATTAAACTCTACCCCAGGGGAGAAATTAAAGTCATGTGAATTCTATAGCTGCTACTTAACGTAGTATTTTAAATCTGGTATATTATTATCTAAAGCCTGTTGTATTATATCTTACGAATACATTTCACCATTTGGAATAAGAAAATAAAACCAATGAAAGACCACAGAAAAACAAAGCATGTGATAAACCTACAGACTTAAGTAAGGCATTTGCCAGGACTGCTGGCTGCCATTATACTACCCACTCTTGCACAGGGGTGCAAGTTTTACAGCTAGGGTTCCTGAACATTCAGTGCGTAACTAACATTACACAGTGTCATCACCATTGGTTCGTAAGAAGTTGATGTCTGAAAAACTTTCAAGGAAAATTCTTAATGGTATTCTCAGGAGATGAAAAGGTAAGTTACACCACTAATTCCAAGATAATCTATTTGAGGATCTCGGAGACCATCAGGTAGAAAAATTTTTAGAAACAGCTAAACTGAAATCTCTCCCAGAAATCAGGTATTTGTAGAGCACATGACAATCATCACCGCAGGTTAAACTTTGATAAGATCCTGCTTTGTACTGATCACTGACCTAACTCAAAATACATATGTATATACACACATACCAATAAAAAAGCCATAAGGCTCAATTCAGCACAGAACTTGAGATTTTTTTTTAATGTATATTATTTACCTGTGTTGTTAAATCACCTAGTCACAGAAGTTACTTTTGAATGTATTGTGATGCAACTTGGGATTCTGACAACATTCATAGAGCGGTATAACACTCTTCTGCAACAGAAAGGGCCAGATCTACCCTGACATTGCAGTCATGCCTTAAAATACTTCTGTAAAGGTAAACTCGGGGAAGTTAAAGTTTAGAATTGTAGTGTGAAAACAGTATTCTGTTGGGTTTTGGTCCCCCCCCCCATCATCCTGGCCTCCAGAAAATCTGTAAAGGAAGCCAGTCTTGTATGTTTGCCAAAGGAAAAAGATACTCTGAGTAAGTTCGGCACAGAAGTAGAACATCAGTGAGCTTTCCAGCAGACTCACATGGAGCACTTTTTAAGGTTATCAAAACCAAAGCACGTAAACCGTACTCAGTTACCGTAGAAATAAGTAGGAGAATCAGGAAGGGATGAAGTTGGTTTTTTCCCCACAGTTAACACACTCTTGTACATGCCTAACATTACTCTACCCTGAAGGGCTGCTTTTTTCCAAAAGTTCCCCCAGCTCCCCAACTACCTCTCCTCACAGTTTTACCACAGGTACAGTTCCTGCAGCATAGGTTATTTGTTAAAGAATATTTCTGCATTTAAACCTATTCCTTCAGTTGTGTTTTGTGGCAAGCAACTGTCAGGATCACACACCCTCTAAAGAAGCTACATTAATTAATGACTTTTCTGAACTGAAAAACTAAAAACTACCCAGCACATGTATTACAATCGTCTGTCTAATGGAAGGAAATGGTTGCTCATCATCTTCAAAACCAGTAGATCAAGTGTCTTTACATAGAAATCTGACTACTCCTTGTCTCAAACTAAACAAATATATCTAAGTAATGCAAAACTAACCAATCTGTTCTTTCTTTATTAAAGAGAAGCCTGAAGCATCAAAACATTACATATTTTAAAAGGAATGTCATAATTTTTATCAAGTCTTGACTGCTCCTATTTCTCCACCTTTACTTATGTCACATCCTTGTCATTGCAAAAAAGACAACTGAAGTCACTCAACTAAGCCATCCCCAGGAAAGAGCCAAACTCTGTACAGTAGGGAGAGAGGCGGGGAAGGGAAAAAACCAAGTCACTTTCACAAAAACTACTCTTCTGATCCTGATCCAGTAAAATCACCAGCAACTTCAGTGTAGGCAGGCTCAGACCCTGAGAACTAACGCTGATGCTGCTGACAGCAGCTGGAATTTGCCCTCCAAAGTTACTGACTGTAGCATTGGCTCATAATAAAAGATACTGACCAAAAAGAGAGAAAGAGGGTAATTTGGTCCTGTGATATGAAGACAGAGATATTTGCTAATCAAATGTTACTCATGTTTTGTGAGCACAGTGAGTAGTTCAAACATACTGTACTAATAGCACTTCTTTTACAACACAGACCATCTCCCCCTCAACATCAGAAATATTCTTATGAATCAATTGTTTCATCTTTACTTACGAAGACTGTTAACTCTGCTCTGACACCACTGAATATGGTGAAAGCCAAGTAAAAAAACCCTCTTTATCTCCTTCACAGACCGAATATTTAGAAAACAGTAGCAACACTTTCTTACCTCCTTTTCCAAATATACTTTCTTATCATCCAGTGTATTATACAGAGTAAAGAACTGCTTCGTTTCTTTGTGAGTTGCTGAGACTGCAAACAAAAAAAAGGGTAGAAAAATAAAAGAGCATGAAGTGAAATGGAATCTGTAAAAATACTTCATAGGCTTTATATAATATACTTTCCACCATCAATAACAGAACACACTCTTTAATACATTCTGGAAGAATATTCCCTCTGCATGTAAATCTCCAGCAGGGTTTGCAGCTATCAGATTTTATGAGAACGACACAGCTTGGTGTTTAAATTAAGCCTCAACTGCTGACAGCCCTTTATGCGAACATATGCTGGCACTCAGCTGTGCTTCCTGACCATGGTCTGTTCATCCTCCCGTCATAAGCTTTACGCTTACATCATCCAGGTTGCTGTGCTGCTAACAGTTGCCCTCGCATAGCTTGCCCACGGTGGTGGAGAGGCACAGGCTCAGCAGAGACAGATAGGAAACAGATGATCTGATACTACTGTGTGGGAAAAAAAGTGCAACATACTCTATATTTCAAGTTACACACGTGCAAGATGCCCAAGAAAGCTGTTTTGAAGCCTTTTTTTCTCTTACAATTTATTCATGCTGATAGGATTAAATAATGCTTTCTTTTCAAATAATACTTCCCAGTCTGGGTGATTATAGCAGATGTTGGTCATAGCTTGGTGGGGAAGGTAAGGCTCAGACATGCATTCCCTTTGGCCCTACAAGATGATGACGATACTCAAGTCTGCTAAGTCTTCATCTATTCTTTAGTTCTTCAATGCCTAAGAAAACCTAAGATATTTGTGATTCCCAAGGAAAGAATTCAACAGAGAAGGAGAGTTGGCAAAAATTATTATGGTTAATATATTAAGCACTGTCTGGAATCCTGAACCTGGAAAAAACGTATGGGTTAAAAAAGATCAAATGATTTAATAATGAAAATTATTCCAGAGGTCATGATTAAGCCAGATAAACCTGAGTGAAGCCATCCTCATTACATTAAAGGCTAACAAGTTGCCATCTTTAAATAAAACCTTTACTGAACTGATATACTGGACTAAGCTTTTGAATGGAACCAAACAGCATGATCTCCTTCCCATGTCACAATGTGAATAAATATCCAAATTTTTAAAGGAAGTCCAACTCTTGATCTGTACAATTCTGTTCTCCAGCTGAAGCCCAACAACAACCCACAGCCCAAAGCTGAATGTTTTAGTGACATAAGTCCAGCAGTGGCTACTTCTGCAGTAGCAAGATGTTCGGGACCAAGAGCTGTCTCATTGCCACAGTATGACTGCGACGTGTTCTGCACATGCTGCAGCCTTCAGAAACATACCAAGTACTGGGAGCCTGAAAGCACTGAGGAATTCAGGAAAGCCTGGCAAATTGGTAAGGGCTATTCAGCATGTTCCACAAAGATTTGCCAAATGCTGAAATCAGGCTGCTTCTTGAAAAACTGCACAAACACAAGGATCACCAACAGGCTTACTTCACGTGTGCTCTCTTAGTTTGTTTTTTGCAGGACTTGCTGCTGCCAAATGGAAGAGGCCTTTCCCAAACCATTTCCTTCCTGCAGCTCTTCCCTTTCTTGCAGCAGCTCTGGTAGTCACAGATCTTTTATGAGTGGATTCCACACACCAACCCAGAAGAAAACTTCTCAGCATTTCCACTGGGTTAGAAAGTTGTACCAGCTTATGGAGCCTTATGGGCACACACTAGAGCCCATGTACGGTAAGACAGACAAAGAAAAAAGAGGAAGAAGGAGCCAGTTGGCTCACTGATTCTCTTGAAACCACAGCTTAATGTTTTCAACAGAAGAGGCTTCAGTTAGGTCAAAAATAAAGCAGGGAATGTTGGAACTTAAAAGCATTCTAGTACAGAATCACAGAATCACTGAGGTTGGAAGGCATCGCTGAAGGTTGTCTTGTCCAACACACCTTCAATCAAAGTTCAAAACAACAGGTTTTGTCAACTCTGAAGATCACCTGAATCTGACTAAATGAAAAGCCTCTAAAAAATACCACAATTCACAGAAAGACTTGCTAGAGGTTCTCAGCTCATTTTTCCAGAAATTTAGCCCGTACAATGCAGGTTCCCAGCCACAACTGAGCAGTGTGTTATCTAAGTTACTACACATATTTTGTACTATAGAAAACAAAGTCCCATAAAATTCAAAGCATCTTAAATCTACACCCAAAGCTGCACAAGTCTCTCTGAGCTTAATGTTTCTGTACTTCATATATAAATGAAGCCCCCATCTTCTGAGCGGGTAGATGCTCTAACCATAGATTATTTGTCTGAATTCACTTAGACATGACAGAGAAAGCATTCTGTACAAAATTTAATGAAAGACAACAAAGTTGTCTTTATAGCTGGGCTTGATTAAATAAGCTGCATGGCACATAAGCAGCAAAGTGGGGGGAAGAAGTTTCTGTATTTGTACTCAGCGAAGTACATCTATTCCATGCTTTGAGTTAGACAACAAACATGGAAGACAGCACACGACTATGTCACTAGAGATGCCTCATCAGGGCAAGGGATTTCAACCAAAATTAGGTAACAATTTTAGAACTGCTCAACCTTCAAGAGCTTGTTTCACATACGTATTTAGGAAACGCAGAATATCTTTAAAACATTAAGCTAGTTGTTCTTGGCAGAAACTTATTTTGGGTTATGCTAACACACAAGCTACATTAAATATAAACCAGTAAGTACAGTGGTCTGTAATCAGTTTAATGGAACAATTTTAAAATTGTATTCAGTTTGCATGGCCCATACCATCCATGCACAGCAGACGCATACCTATCCAAAAAGTAAGCTGAGCACATTTCCCCATTTTATAACTTCTTACCATTAAAAAAAGTTAAAGAGAATTTTTACTCTGATCCTACCAAGATATTGCAGGATATTTATAAATCAAAAATCATAGAATCATAGAATCGTTTAGGTTGGAAAAGACCTTTAAGATGAAAGAAAACAACCCCTTCAAGAAATTGCCTTCACTTAGTAGTTCTTGACATAGTTTGGTTCAGAACCAGGTATCGCCCTAAAGCAATCTGATGTTAAGAGCAACTAACTAAACACAACTCAAATTTACAGCAACCTCATTTGTAAATGGTGAATTCAGGACTTTCTAAACACACTGGTCATTAACCTAAATGACTGAACCTGTTGCAGACAAAATTTACTCCAGAGATCTTGTGCATCAAGTTTCATCCTCAGGAAAATTCTTACAGCCAGCTCATAAAGCCTTGAAAATAGGGTGTATAACATGAATACCAAAAGACCCTTAAAATACCAGAAAATTAACAAGTGTTACTTGCCATATGCTTAAAATGCAATTGCCCTCCTTCCAGGGCTTTAGCCTTCAGCA